TTGCCCCACAAAGGGCATTTGGCAATGTCTGGAGACATCACAATTTGGTGGCGGTGGGAGAGATAAAATTGGCACCCACTGGGTAGAGGGTAGGGATACTGCTAATCATCCTACAATGCACAGGGAAGCTCCTCACAACAAAGAATTATCAAGCCCAAAATGTCAATAGTGGAGACATTTAAAAACTCTTTCCTAGGATAGTACAATTTTCTAGATAATAGTTGAAATTACATTGTGTAAATCAAAAAGATAAAGAAAAACTTTATATTAATACTAAACATGCTTCAAAAATCAGTTTATTTTTGCATCTTTCTTTATTAAACCATCCAGAATGCCACTGAATTTTTCTGCTGATTATTGCCCACAGACAAGAAATATACAACCACATCATGCTTTTCTCACTGGCAATATTACACACTGCAATTACTTGGAGTGGTTCCATGATCATTACTTCACACTGTTGAGACATAAGAAACTATAAGTTGTTAAAATCTTGCACACCCAGGAAGTCTCTGCTGCTGCCTTCTCTTTATGCTCAAATCATATTTTGCAAAGCTATATAAGGAACCTATCATTTGCATGATCTTCCTGTTTATTTCCCCAAAACATGCAGACACACACACACAACACATACTCCTAATTGAACTATAAACTCACAGGGAAGAAAGGAGCAGTTTTCATCAGCACATCTTCTATGTGGAATGCCCACTTTCCCTCATTTTGTAATTGAGAAACCCAAATTCATTATCTAAGATTCATCAAGGATGTCTTCTCTAATCCATAAGCTGAGCTCCTTGGCCTACTCTACAGTTCTATTTTTGTGCTTATCAGAAACCATATTGAAGTTTTCTGTTTATATGTCTGCAGTCTGCTCAAAGATAGTGGCTTTGTTTTATTTACCATTTTATTACTCTCCACTATCACAGCTCTCAGCACATAAAATGTCTTCGCTCTGTCTTCCTCTCCAGAAAGAACTGGATGGATATAAAGAGATAGATTTTTTTTAAATAACTGGATGATTCAAAACCCAATTAATGAGTACATGGTATAAGCAATGATCTTAGCCACTATATGGTAAGAAAAATTTTGTTGCATATCTACATTATTATTAGCCTTTATTAAGTATATCTTTAAATTAAGTGTTGATGTTATAAAAATTTTTTATCACAAATTTAGATTTTACTTTTTATCATTTTATAAACATATATATATATTGAATAGGTAATAATTCATTTCTTTCATACCAGATATGTCAAAACACATTTTTTAGAAGTAACCACCTTCAACAGTATGTGTGTGTGTGTGTGTGTGTGTATGTTTCCTTCACATAGATATTTCCTGTGCATGTTCATGCACGTGCTGCAACAAATCTGCATTTTCCAACAAAACTGAGTTCTCTCAGTAACACATAAGGAAGGCTGGATATTGGTTAGAAAACTAACAGTGTCTACCCTAAGGGAAGAAAAATTATCCTATGTATTTATAACAATTCCATTTTTATGTGTATATGTATGTAGTCCAGAAGGCACACAGAACACTAGCTGCCATAGATGAACAGACACTTTGTCTATCAGGAATATAACAACTATCCTCTAATTGTTCCCTTGACTCTGGTTTTATCCCCTGAAATCTCTTATAATGGGTATTGGCAAACTTTTTCTGCAAAAGGCAGTGCAGTAAATATTTTAGGCTCTGTGAGCCAGCCATATGGCCTTCATCCCAACCATCCAACTGTGCCACTGCAGTACCAAAACTACTGTAGATCATCTTCAAATGAATGAGGGTGGTTGTGTTCCAGTAAAACATTATTTACAAAAGCAGAAAGCAGGCTATATTTACCTCCCTCCCTATTATTTGCTGATCTTTGCTCTACAATATCACTAGCTTTTTATTTCTAAAATCAGAGTTCATGTGAATCAGTTATCAGCCATTCTTAAGCACACAATGTAAAGTGAGTTTCTCCCTACACTAACTTTCATACTATCTTCATTATCCATTCATTTTACAATGTGCATTATATTCTACGACGGCGATTTTTATGTATTTGTTTTTCCACAACAATTAATTCATAAAAACATATATGCACACTACTAAAATACAGTTTTCAATGTTCAGCCTATGGCTTGTTGTAAAATTATTCTTTCAATAAACTCTTGCCTGAAACCAGAGTAGTACAGAGACTTAAAACATATTCTGTATTGTCCTTTCTCTCTCTCTTTTTTTTTTCCTATACAGATAAAAACTTCAAATACTTATTTTTGTTTCTTTTCTTTTCCCAAATTCTGTGGGTACAAATATTGTTATGGTTACATATCTCTACTCCTTTTAGATATTATTTTTTGCCCTTTAACAGTACTCCTCTCAGTAACAGAACTTAAAAATATTAGCTTTCCCCCATTCTCATCCTCCACCCCAAGCCCTAGATGAGAACTTTAAAGTGTTTGACTGGTTCTCAAGCCCTCAACCCCATAGCCTTTGCTGTAATAATTCCTTTATGTTTCATGATTCTTAGACTGTAAAGGATTTTTTTGCTTCATAAAAAGTAACCATTCACAGTTAACTCTTTGTTTATACACACACACACAGACACAGATACATACACATACATTTATTTCAGAGTTCACTACTGATAGCTTTTATCCTCTTCTTGTCATTTTCCTTAGCTTGTAGAACTCTGTTCTGATTCATTTCAACTATTTTCAATTTCAACTATTTTCTCAAATATTTTTCTAGTTTAGGTAGGAGGATGATACACTTTCTGGATCATTCTCCAAATATTTACTTCATCCTAGCAGATAATTTTGACTGAGCAAAAAATTTGAGGTTTCAGCTTTTTCACTGTAGGTTGTAAATGGGATTGAACTGTTGGCTAGATTCCAGTATTTGAAGTAGCAAATATGAGGTGAATACATATTTTTCCTAGTAGCTAATTTTTAAAAATCTGAAAGTTTGTAAAATTTTCTCTCTGTTCTTAGGCTTTATGAAATTCACCAGTATTTATCTATGTTTTATTTTTATTATATTAACCCTTCTTGGAACTCAGAAAATCTGTTAAATTTATAAATTCATTATAGTCTTTGCTTCAAAGAAGAAGATATTATTGTTCCTTTCCTCCATTTGTTATTTTTGTCGTTGTTGTTGTTCTCTAGGAAAACATGTTATTCACATGATAGTTCTAATGAATATGGACTCTAAGTCTCTTTTTCATACAACTCCATAATTTTATATTTTTGCTTTGTGATTATTATTAGCTCTTTCTTTCAGTCTGATTTATTCTTGAATACTAGGACAGTGATTTGGGTCTGATCAGAGACCATTCATGCCTTCAATCCATATATTGATTTTTTTTTTATTATTTACTTATTTGTTTAAAACATGGCTTCAAGTTACAGAAATCTCTTTGTGATGTTCTTAAAGAGCTTCTAGCATTCTTATGATCTACTGTTCAGTACACTGTGTCTTTAGGTAAAGATTGCTTTGCTTGTTTTATTCTCCCTGGCGCTTTGCTCTCTATGGTTATATTTGTGTCTTTTATGCTCACTGGGGCTCTTATTGCAGCTCCTGGAAGTAGCTTACCAGTTGTATTCCCACAAGTGATGGAGCCCAAGAACTCTTCGCCTTTGTAAGGCAGTGCGGATTGGCTGATGGGCTGTCAATCCCTTCACATATGGCATGGGAAATTATGTTCTTGGATTTCCATGCACACTCTCACCCAACAGAGTTTAACCCCAACAGGGTTAACAGTGCTGAACCCTTTAATTCCATCTCAACTCTCCTTGGAGACCAATAAGACTGAGAGTGTTCTGGGTCTTTCCCCAAGGGCTCAGAAGCTGCTCTCTGTTCTACTACAGCCCAGAACCGGTTTGGCAATTGCTTTCTCCTTTGATACTCTGGCTGTGAAGTAAATCATAATACCTCTTTTGTACCTCCTCCTACAATGGCTCCAGGAGCTATCTGCCCAGCTCAAGACAGCTAAAATGAGCTAGAGTTCCGTAGTGGGAAGGAAAGAGGCTTCTATCTTTCCTTTAAAAATTGTATGCATATATTCAAATTATAGAGTGATTTGATGGGTGACTATAATAACCTTAATTTAAAATAACTTATATATATGCAGTAAAATTAAATATATAAGATCTATACTCAAAAATGTGTTGCAAAGCTTAGAGTGTCACAAAGATAGTCGAAAAAGTATTACCACAACTAAACTTTATTTTAATTATATTTTTAAAATCATAATATGAGATAAAAATAAAATTAAAAAACTATACCACAGAAACCTGAGTGAAGGAAAAGTCCCAGATTATTACAGAAATTCAAGACCTGGGACATCATGTGTAGACTGCAGTGTGGGATTTGTTTTCAGGCAAACCTGGGATAATTTGTCCTTGGCCATTTTGTAGATATGTGAATTTGGAAAAGGGACTTATGTACTCTGTGCTAGTTTGCACATCTTTAAAATGATATTCAAAACATTTCAGAGATTTTGTATAATTTGAAATAAATAAAGTATGCAAATGCATATTAATATTTGAAAAGTTGTATTGATTAACATAGCAATTATTTCTATTAATATTATTATTATTTGTTTATAAACTGCAAGATTAAAAGATAGCAAACAATTTCATACATTCTAACATCTCTCTTCTGTGCAAATTGTCACAGTAAATGTGTTGATTTGTTCTTAACATGTGAAGAATATGTGCTCAGAGAGCCACATCAGTTAAGCAAGAACTGCAGGTGTTTTCCAATTTATAATTTTCTCTTGAGATCAAACTTTGCCTATACTTAAACTGTTCAGAAATTAATTTTGCTGCACATTATAATAGACCAAATATTCTTTAACAGCATATCCCATAAAAATATTAAGATATTTTGAACCTTTTCTAGAATTCTCTACACGTGTGTGCCCGCACACACACACAAAGATCGGTCTTCAAAAGATGACTTTTGGATTTTCAAAAACATATTGATTACGCAACTATAAAAATTATTTTTCTTACCCATATCTGACATTTCAGGCACAGTAACGATGTACGGTCCATCTGTGAACTTTGGAGCATTATCGTTGATGTCTTGCACTTTGATGATAAACTCAGATTCAGGTTCAAGAGGTTTGTTTGTCCGTCTGTCAATAGCCTGGGCATGAAGCACATAGTGGGTCTTCTGCTCTCTGTCTAGGCTTTTTGTTGAGTGGATGTCACCCGTGGTATCATCAATGATAAATATAGTCCCGGCACCTTCACCAGTAAGGATATACTTGACAGACCCATCACCTTTGTCAGAATTGGAGTGCAGCTGTAAAATAGACATAGAAAAATTTAGCATGCAATTATGTACTGACCTTACATCATTTATTCTGAAAATTCCCCATGTATAATTTAATATTTAGTTTGACTATGAGTTTTCTTTCTTTTACAGTGTCCTTAATGCTACTATAGTCATTTATTTTTCTGCAGTTTTTCTTCACTTGGTAATAATATGGATAATGCTATCATAATTTGTTTAAGAGATCCCATTAGTGATTTAACAAAAATCAATAGACAGTATTTATTAAAAGAAAAATAAGATAAATAATAGCCCTTTTCATGAAACTAACAAGCTGTGAGATTGTTGAGTAATTTTTGTGTTGTTATAAATAAATTATAAATCTACATTATATAATTATACCTAATTAAAAATACACTTGGGGAAATCTATTATGCCTTCTAACAACTAATTTTGAAAAGATATAGCAATGCTGACAATTAACTTTTATCTACTATATATACAAAGAAAACTCTATTACATTTTCAGTGAAATTAATTTGATATTATTTAGTTTTGAATTAAAAGTTCATATTACAGATATTTAATTATATTTAAAGAAGAATAGGTTTAAGTATGTAAAATAAATAGTAAAGTTATCAACCTAAAGTATATCTTGAAAATTTATGTTATAAAGTTTATATAAATTCTGGTAAATAATTCAGATAAAATAAAAATTATAAAAAAATTTATAGCTTGAAATTTAAAGACATGAATCTGGTTCCACATTTACAAAGTTTTTATAATTAATAAACATTTTGCATATATGCTTCAGAAGTTCTAATTTGAACACAGATTATAATATGATTAGTAAATGGTAATTCAGCAATGTCTATATTGTTGGATACAGTATTTTATGCATACAGTAAAAGTTACAACAAAATATTATATAAATGACTTCGGATTATGTTAGTTTTTCATAATACTTAGTTTGAGTATTTAGATCATATAGGTAATCATTTTATCAATAAATTTTTAGTCTCTCAGTTGAATCTGGTTGAATCTTGAAATTATCAGTTTTTATGTAACACTAACGAGAAACCATTATAATATTTAGCCAATTGATTAATATGGTTCATGTGATTATGATGATAACCACTTACAAAGTAGCAAAGTAACCTACTTTGAGTATTTACTCTTCTCTACCACATCTATTCTCAAATATTCAGTTCTATTTGTGACACACATTTTGCAACAGAGGCAGAGCCTAAGAGAAACACCGGCTATATTGTCCCATTTAGTTTAATAAGTGGGTTTTAAGAAGCTGGAGGAGCACATTTTTTCTAATACACTTGTACTTGAATGTTTATAGTGGTACAATTCTCAATCGCAAAGATGCGGCAACAAAAAGTGTCCATTAATACATGAGTGGATTGATAAAATATGGTATATGTATACCCCGGAGTACAACTCAGCCTTAAAAAAATGGTGAACTACTACCTTTTGTAACAATCAGGATGGAACTGGGGATCATTCTTCTAAGTGAAGTACCACAAGAATGAAAAACCAAATACCACATGTACTCAATGCTAAATTGGAACTAATTGAGCAACACTTATATGCACATATGAAAGGAAAACTCAGTGGAAATCAAGTAGGTGGAAGGGGGAAAAGGGGATGGATAAATTCACACCTAAAACGTACAACGCACACTATCCAGGTGATGGGTCCACTTATAACTTTGACTCAAACTATATAAAAGCCAATTATGTAATCAAAACATTTTAACCCTGTAATATTCTGAAATAATAAAAAAGGTAAAAAACTTGAGGGATGGATAGAAATCTCTTACATGCAGATAATCTTGTTAGACAGAAAATAGAAATGTGTAATCTCTAAGTGTGGGCAGCAATGAGACATCAAACAAAAGGGATTAGGATGGAGTATGAAAATTAGAAATAGTCTGTATATAGACATTGTACTCATTTGATAATCAGTAAAATATGAGTTGTAAGCTTAGCTAGTTACTATATTATTTAAGAGAAATGCCCATGAGTTTTTGTAGTGAAATAAGTAAAAATATTTGGAGGATAAATTTGATTTTAGTCATGTACAATAAACCCTTTTTAGCAGACAGTGCAGTTATATCACAAGGAAAGCAGTAGCAGTATATTTTTTATAACTTACAGTGATGGAAATATGCTTTTAGAATCATGAGATTTTGCAAAGTAGGATATAGTTTCATGCTGAAGAATAGAAGTTATATTGTCCTAAATCAAGAAGATATGATCTTTGTATATCTGATTACATAATAGAGTTAATTAGCTGTTCTTTAGAGAACAGAAAAGTGGTAGCGAAGTGAATAAAAAAAAAGAAAATGTAGTCATTCAAGTAAAGCAAAAGGAACACTTCTCTGGCATTATTGTTATAAATTGCCTCTTTCATAGTGTTAAGAAATCTAATGCGACTCACATGAGTTCACCCTAGAAAACTATTTATTCACCCTGGACCACATTAGATCAGGACCTAAAAATTTATAGCTTTCACTCTTATGCAGAGTTTCTCAGTAAAATAATATTCTATCCCTTGGGGAAGAATAACTTTAAAAGGTTAAGAAGATGGTGGCAGAGCCATTAATTTCGAAAGTTGCTTTTAGTTAGGACTTTAAACTATGTTAAAAAGATAGGTCACTGACTTAAAATTGTAATATTTTTGGATACATAATTTATATACTTTTTAAAAGTAGGAAACTTAACATTTAAAATATTTCAGTGGAAGCCAAAAATAAAGGCAGACATATGACATAGTTAATTCCATTATTATCTCCAAAACTTGTTGCATAAAAAAAATATATGTAAGATGATGTGATAAAAGTGTGAAAAATCATAGGGATACATGTCATTGAAAAGTATTATGAATCTTTCATTCTAGAATGTGTTATATTCTTAAAGTATAAACAGATGAAACAAAAATCAACTGAACAATTAATAAGTAATTGATGTGAAATGTGATGTGAAAAAACAGATCAATTAATAACAGTCTTGGCAACTGATAGCACATCAGTTTCTTGTAACAAAAGACATATATTATCCATAAATTTTAATTATTCATCAATATATATGTAAAAGTTGTTAAAAGTAGCATAATAAAGCAATTTGTTTAACCATAAAAGTCATAATAATTAAAATAAAAGTAAGGGGTTAAGAAATTAGATGACGGTAGGTAAATAAGGTATTTGTTCAACTGAACATATTAAAATACAAAGGTGTCCTACATTGAATTTTAGCTTTTAAGTGATTTATGTGTATTCTTGGATAAGGAAATAAGTGCATGAGGAGGAGAAGAAAAGGATCAGGAAATAAGACTTTTCTTAACATTTAGACTCTGAATCCCAGATTGGAGTTATTAACACACGAGATGAAAAACTGAAAAATTTCTCTAAAGTATGAAGTCATCATAATTTCATACTCATTAGTTCTATTTTGGAATGTCCCATTCAGATGTGCTAAATTAAGCAAGGCAGGATTAGGCAATGGTTGAGAATTTCACTTTTAATTATTGGGAAGCTTCAAAACGTGACCCATCAGTTGAAATTAGAGTGAGCGGTACAGGGCACAGAATTACCTAGTTTCTTATCAAAATTAATCTGCCTCCTTTTATCTCCCAATAAGGGCCTAGTTAAGAAAGAGGTAGCTCTGGCAGCTAGAAGAGAAAAACAAACAAACAAACAAAAACTCAAAGCATTACTACAATCTAGTAAAATATGAGACTAAATCTATTGCTCACATATTAAAATGTATTATGATTCCATGCCCATTAAAATTCTACCATTACTATTCATTTTAGCCTTTTTTTCATGTAAGAAAGTAATAATTGCACATAAAGGGAGAGAGAGGAGAGAAATGAAAGTGTGAATGGCATTGACCCTTTGCTAAATGTATATGTCAAAAGCATGAAAGAATGTTGCTTCACCAGCAATCATCTTAAGAAGTTTATTCTTCCAAAAATATTTTGGAAGGACTCACCATGCTCCAGTCACGATACAGAGTAAACAAATGCATCACTGAAAAAAAGCAAGCAAGCAAAGATGCCTGCTCTGGCAGAGACTACATTTATTCCAGTGGAGAGAAGCAGATAAAAGTGTAAGATATGACAAATATATAATACGATGAAAGTGACAAAAGCTACACTTAATAAAAGAGAAAGCAGACAAGGAGAAGGATAGCAGAGGTGGTTGGGAAGGTGCAGAGAGGTTGTAATATTAAATAGGGGAATGTGGTAGGCAGATTATTGGTCTCTTGAAGATGTGTGTCTTAATTCAGGGAACCTCTGCATATGTTTCTTTCTTGGTTAACAGGGACTTCACAGATATGATAAATTTTGTGGTCCTTGCCTTGGGGAAAGTATCTTGGTTTCTCTAGATAGGAAAAAAGTGATTATATGGGTCCTTAGAAAGGGAGAACATATTTCAGCTGGATGAGAGAGAGAGAGACGAAAATGCGAGACAGATTCAGCACCTTGTTATTGGTTCTGAAAGATAGAGATCTGTGTAGAAGAATTAGGGAGAAGTCTCCAGAAGCTGGAAAAGACAAGAAAATGAATTCTCATCTAAAGCCTGCAGAAAGGAATAAAGCTCTTCCTACTCCTTGATTTTAGCCCAGTGAGAAATGTCTTGGACTTCTGATACATAGAGAACTATTAGATAATATAATTTTGTTTTCAGTGACTGAGGTTGTAGTAATTTGTTAAAGCACCAGCAAGAATCTGACACAAAGAATAAGATAAGATGACATTTTAGCAAAATTTTGATTAAGGTCAAGGAGTTAACCAAATACACATCTCAGGGAAGAGCATTTCTGACAGGGGCAACAAGAAGAGAAAATAATTATTTGAGGAATATTATTAGCAGGTTCCAGAAAAGCAAGGAAGTCCAGTATGACCAGAGAAGCCTGGGGAAGAGGAGGATAGAAAGTACCAGGAAAATAACTGGATGTTAGACCATGGAGGGGGAAGTATTGCAGGAGCTAGTGAGACACTGGATAGTTTTGAGCG